CTCGTACGTTTCCATCGTACGACGAGCGGAAGCGCACGCGTTCACGTCGTTCCGCCCAAGTCAATTTACATCTTTAAATCGGCAACATGTACTCGGAAAGTACAGTTTACCTCGACAGAGAGTTGCGAAAATTAAAACCAGCAGAGTCGTTCAAACTGGCTCGGATATTACGCGTGCAGGATTCCTGGAAAAAGTTAATGGCGATCGTACCAAAGGACGACGATTCCGATCTTCCAAGATTCAACATCGAACATATCAGGTACAGCTTCGAACACACTCGCGCACACGGTACGCTCGAGAGCAAACCAAGTTTCTCACTGGTCGCCACGTCGAACCTTCGCAGCACGATCGAACAAGCCGCCGCTCAACAACAGGGAAACGCGGTGGAAATATTCTTGTCGGAATGGGGAACGATGGGTAAAAAGAGGCCAACGTTGCGTCTTCTGTTGAGCCTTTTGACAAAGGCCGAGTTGTTCAGAGCTGCCGATTACGTCGCCGGAGAGTTACTGAACGGTACGGCGAACGAGATATTCTCGTCGACGCGTAGTTACGGCGATTCGGGCAAATTTCGTTACTTCGTCTCTGTCTCTCTCTTGTTTCAGAAGAACTTCCAAAACGACCAGAATTCGGACCAGCAGCACCCGTAGATATCTCCGAAGAAACGGACACGGCGTCGAAAGACAACGAGAAACTCGCGAACCTCGATCGCGACGAATCTCGGACATTCGGATCAGCCTCCTCTCGAGTCGTCGACAACGAAACGATCGATCCTAACGCAACGAGTAACAACGATTCCTTCGAAGAGGGAAACGCGCAGTCGACGAAGTTGATCGACTCTTCGAGAGGGGAACGCGGTTGCAAAGAGCAATTACAAAGCGACGAGGAGACGTCGAACGTACGACGAACGGACATCTGGGATCCGACGAGATTCAACGGCAAAGAGAACAACAGCGTGGAAGAAGAGGGCGGAGAACAGACGTTGGATCAACGGGAAATGCCGTCCGACGAATTGCCCGTCTTTTTAAACGAGTTCGAACGACGAACGAGCAAATTTCACCGAGAAGCATCGCCGGAAGAACTCTCCGTTCTCTCGAACGACAGTCGTGGCGGCACGACTCGGTCAAACGAAACGTCCAATTACGAAACGAACGA